TTTCTATTAACACATCTCAAAGAATCCACAGTAGTAAGTGAATGTGCCTGACTGTTCTATCACCTAAATACTTCTCAGAGATTTTCCAGCTAGTCAGGTCAGTGCTGCTCAGGATTACAACACAAGTGATACCTTTGTTTGAATCAGCTTCCTCGAGGTTTATGAAGGATTCGTTGTCAGAGCAGATTCTTGGCTTGATGGACAGGTCTACTCCCAGCTCACGAAGTTTATCCAGCTTGGATTTCCTCACTTTTTCAGGCTGTGCCACCAATCCAGGCCCTGCCTGGTGACTGTTTGTTTCACCTGCTACGTCTGGTGCTGTTTGGCCTCTTTGCTCAAGGGCATCTCCAGCTGCTGGAGGACTTTCACTCTCCTTTTGCTCACCACCATCAGTGCTCAGGAGGTTGGAGAGCTGCTGCTCCTCTGTGTTATCACCAGTTGTTACAGTCCCAACTGCACAGGAACCCTCATTATCCTGCCTAGGCTGCTCAGCACAGTCCTCTGGCAAGTTCTTCCCCACAGCAGCAAGAGGCTCATTCACAGCAGCATCAACATCTCTGCCAAGGCTCCTTTCTGGTTCAGCAGCTGCTGATTGATCATCTTCCACTGGCCCCTCTTTGCAATCCCTGCTCAAGTTCCCAGTGGCTGCAGACTCCTCATTTAGGGGCAGCTGGTATTTTGAGGACCTAACAAAGGCAGAAAGAAATGTATCATCCATGGCTGGTGTGAAAGGGAGCAGAGGGTGAGAACAAACCCAGAGAGAAAGAAACCATTTTCCAATTATTGCCATCAATGTGTAGGAAGAGGTGAAGGACAGAAATCTGGAAAACCATTTGGAGAACAGAAGGAAGTGCAAAGACTTTGTACTAGTTCCATTATCACAGTACCAAATTCCTGAGGGATCCTGTGATTACTGTAGCTTCAGTATTTTACTACTCATTACTCAAAAAAACCCCACCAAAACATTGGGGTCCAGCCTAAACCCCATTAAAGCAACTTTGCAAGAGGAAGTTCATTCATCTTAGTTACTCCTGGGCTCTGATTACTCCAACAGTAGCACTGTGCCATGACTGCAGCAGTGCTTTATGCCAACAGTGATATTCTCCAAATGGCCAGGTGTTCAAGGAATTCAAGGAGCCTAACAAAGCCTGAAAAAAGAACCATGAGGAAGGTTTAAGTCCCTACTTGAGCAAGGCCATGGCATTTCCTTGGCAGGCTGGTCGAGGTCTGCGCTTGTAGAAGTCGTGGATGGTTCTCGTCTCAGGCACGTGGTATGGGAGAGACACGGATGATTCTGCCAAAGAAAGGAGGTGAGAGAAAACTCAAAACATCCAAGACATTTATTTGATAACAAGTGTCTTTGTTTTCATTAGTTACAAAAATACCTTTAACAGGTCCTTCAATAAAAGCACCCTTCAACCCTCAGTAACTCCTGTCAGGTCAAAGAAGGCTCGAACCTTTTGGGTAAATCCTTTCAATTTCTCCCCGGAATTTCTGAACAGTTTATACCTCTCTACACACCAAGAATTAAAGTTTTACCTCTAATAAGTCGTTGGGTCTCACTGTGTAGTTGTTTAATGGCCTCTTTACTTAACCTTGCTGCTTTCCGCTCCTTAGGGGAAGAAAAGAAAGGCTTCTGGAGTCAGGAAACAAAACATGGGGCTCTCTTTCTACTTCTTAAATAGCTTACTTTTCCCTTCAAACAGAAAGGAGTCAGAATAAAGCAGCTAGTTTAAAAAAAAAAAAATTAAAAATAGCAAACCAACAAAACCATTGGACACTCTGCATACACTTGTGTCACAAAAAAACAATACAGAGCTTCAAGAAGAATACCAGCTCACCTTCCTCTTTGGTTCCTTTAGCACAGGCTCCTCATCCTCCTCATCAAATGCATGTTTGTAGCCCTCACCCTCCAAAAAACGTTCCTTGTTCTACAGGGCATAAAAAGAGACTCAATTATTTATCTTGATACAAAGGCACTACAAAGGGTAAACCAGTGAAAACTAACAGTACAGAACCACCACTGGTCAGCAAAACCACCACAAATCCCACATAATGGCAGATTTCCAAAGGTCCTGCCCCAGTGTGATCTTTATAACTTTCCAGGACAACACTCCTCCATCTTTAGGAACAAAAACCAAAAGAGTGTTCTCCCCTCTGCCACAGTGATACAACTCCACCATGGTCAAAGAGAGTTTTAGTACCTGCTCATGTGCAAATTCCTCACTAAAAAACAATAATCATGGAATGGTTTGGGCTGTAAGGGACCTTAATGCCCATCCAGTCCCACCCCACCAGCCCAGGTTGCTCCAAGCCCCGTCCAACCTGGCCTTGGACACTCCCAGGGATGGGGCAGCCACAACTTCTCTGGGCAACCTGTGCCAGGGCCTCCCCACCCTCACAGGGAAGGATTTCTTCCCAATATCCCATCTAACCCTGCCCTCTGGCAGTTTGAAAGAGAGTATATTTACAATATTCTTGTATCACAATCAACTGTTACCTTGTGTTTTTTCACTTTGTTTTTCACTGCTGCTCGTATGGATTCCAGGGACTCCTCATCCTCGGGGGGGTGATCATCCTCATCTTCTAAGCCATTATCAAAGAGCTCTTTGTCATCCAGAAGACATCCACTGTCATTGAAGGGAAACCTCTCACCACCATCCACCTGCTTCCAGAAGAGTGAAGTATTTGTGTGATTCATTTCAGAAGGTCCCTTTGGTTCTTTGGCACTAATTTAAGATGACATTAAATCCTCGAGCGTTAGATGCAGATTGAACTGCAAACTTAATCTAATTTAATTTAATCTAATCTGCAAAATTTGCAGATTAGACTTGTCTGGTGCTCTGTGGATCCCTGTGGATCCCACACCTGCTGCAGGAATGTGGACAGCACAACACTGAAGCACTGGAACAGAACAACCACAAGCAACAATAAATTGAACTTAGTTGAGAAAATATCTGAGATTTTCTGCCAAAAAACCCACCTCTACCCCAGGCTTCTTTTCTTTTTTCAGCTGTTTAAGGACCTCCATTCTTTTTTCCTTCTCCTTCCTTCTTCTTGATTTCCCTACAGCTTTTCTTTCTGTCTCCTCTTCAACATCGTGTTTGTGTTTCCTGTAATTTCTCCCAGATTTTAGGGGTCTCTCCTCTCCCAGCTCACCCTGAGCCAAGCCAGGCATCCTGCCTGTTTCCAGGTTTTCAGTCTGTAGCTGGTCACCAGTGTCACTGCCCTCACTGTCCAGCAGAGCCTGGCGAATCCGACTGGATTTCTTGTTCCTCTGGGCAGCAACGTTCTCCTTTCCCTCCCCGTTTCCCTTGTCTCCACCCAGAGTCTCCTCCTGCAGGGACGAGCCTCTCTCCTCTCCATCTTCACTCTCACTGTCCTGGAGCACCTTCTTGCTTTTTCCTTTTTTACGTACAAAAATCTCTTCTTCTGAATCTGACGAAATACATGGGAACAAAACAGGAAAGCCCACAAGTTAATTAACAAGCAGTCAGAGTTCCACCTCTTAAATTTCACGGGGGTCGCCATCTACACCAAATCAGCTTGAACTCAACTTTTCAAAATCCACTTCTCCCCGTAGTGCAGCATTTAATTAAACCCAAACTGATGTTAAAGGTTTTTAACCTATTAAAAAAAAAAAGGCAAAGCTGAAAATCCTTCACTGATGGTGACTTGCCTGGAAAGAGTAATAAAACCCCAGAGACAAAGTAAAAGTACAGGGGTAAAAAAAATCATAAAAGAAAGGGAATAAGCAATTAAGGCACTCACATCCCATTCATTATTTTCCTTTCTGTACCTCAAAAAACGCTTTTCAGAGATTTACAGATGCCTGAGCAACAAAAAGGAGTTTGGATTCCTGCAGGCCAAGCAACGGCAGGTTCCTAGAAAGGCATTTATGAAACAAAATAATGCAGCGTTGTAGGGAAAAGCAGATTCTGGGAAGGTTACAGACCTCTGTCCTCGCAGGAGGCTGAGCCCTGGCCCGTCTCACAGCTGCCCTGGCCACTGTCACAGTCGCTGTCCAGGGCCTTCTGCAAGTCGGGGTTCAAATCTGCCAACGGCAACTACAAAGCAAAACACAATTGATCTCGTCATGGCAAATACTGGTTATGTGGTTTGACTCCGAACGCATTTCAAAACCTGGCCAACCTCACACACAACGGAATACACACCCATTACCGTGTTATATTTTAACTATTGGTATCTACACGTTTACTGATATTTATTAATGGTATTTACCATATTTACCAACGCACATGGCTATTTACAAAAGGGGAGGTGACACTATGTCAGCTCTCACTACAATTTAAAGGCGAGTTTGCGCAGAAGAATAACAGACTCCACACCGGGCGATGGGATTTTATTCACACACGATATTTCATTATTCGCTGATTTTCCCCCAAAGCCCTCGACCCGGGCCCCTCCCGTCATGCACCGCGCCCTCAGGGACAGGCCGCGCGCGGCGCTCCCGGCGTGCCCCGCGGCCGGAAAGGCGAGCGCGGGGCACGCCGGGAGCTGTAGTCCGCGAGGAGCACCAAGCCCGGTGGCGGCGCGGGACCGAGGCCGGCGGGCAGGAATGGCTATAGCCACCAGTCCCCATACCTGTACCGCCACTGGCACGGGCACCGCTACCGCCACCTCCTCGCTGCCCTTCTGCCAGAGGAGCCGCGAGGCCGCAGGCAGCCGCCAGCAGCCGCCCGTCCGTGCAGAGCGGAGGGGAGCGGCAGCACTCACCTCAGCGAGACCTGCCGCTGTCGCCGCTCCCGGTGCCGCCGCCATGTCCCGCCCGCGCTCCCGCCGCCCGGGAACCGCTTCGAGCCTTCGCGCGCTGCCTTGGCCCCGCCCCGCGCCCCGGGACAGCCAATGGCCGCGCGGAACGGCCTCGGAAGCCCCGCCCCTCACAGCGCTCTTGGGCGGGTTTCCTGCGTAGCCCCGCCCCCTCGACCGGGACCAATCGCTGCTCGCGCTGTGAGTGCGCCCGCGCTCTGTGGCGCCTCCTGGCGGCGGGGGCGCTGCCCGCGCGCGGGAGCCGTGAGGGGCCGTGAGGGCGGTTACTGACGTTGTGGGACGGGAGGGCAGCATTTCAAATTTCACATCGTATCTATGGGTTAAACGGAGCCTATGTCCCTTTTTTTTACCTCTGTTGCCTAAAAGCGGCACTTAAAAGAAACTTCTGAGGCTCAATTCATGAGTTTCAGAAGCCAGGCATTCCTTTACCTCGACGCCCTGCACGGCCGCAGCACGACAGGTGCCCTGGGAATCATTTCACCAAAGTGCACACCGAGGTGTGTTCACTACAGTGTGACATGATTATTCACTGTCCATTCTCCACATTCCTCTTACATATTCATGACATTTCCCAACGCAGATATGCATGTCCTTATAAGGCTTCTGAGGGTCTTCATCAGGGGCCTTGGTGGTCTTCTCTATCTGAAGCCTCCCTCAGGTTCTAAGTGACCGCTTTGTAAACTTCTTTAAGACAATGCACATGGTTAAAAAGTAACTGGGTGTTGCTTTGCTGGCTGCCATGTGCTCATGGATATTAGACACACACAGCTGTAAGTGCCGGCACTGTTCCATTTATGGAATAAAAGATATCCATCTTCCATTGGTGTCTGTACAGCCACGCTCTGGGCCAACCCCATCAAGGATTTTGTGAAGGCTCGAACCTTTTAGGTAAATCCTTTCAGTTTCTCCCTTGAATTTCTCAATAGTTTATACCCCTCTGCATACAGAGAATTTAAGTTTTGCCTCTAATAAGTGATTGGTCTCACTGTGTAGTTGTATGATGGCTTCTTTTCTTAACCTTGCAGCTTTCTGCTCATTAAGGGGAAGAGCCACAGTTTTGTGAGGGACAAGGAGCAGATGAACTGATCTACCACGACAGTTCCCATGGAGCCAACGAGCCTGAGAATGAAGGAAGTGAGAAAATCAAATGTCCATGAAACCCACCACAACCACTACAATTCTGCTTTCCTGTAGCTGCTGCAGGAGCTACAGTAATTAATTTAATAATTAGTGTTTAGTAGCAAGGGACAGATGCTGGCTCTGCACAAAAACACCTCCTCAAAGCTGTGCTCTCATTGCTGCGTCAGGAATAGTTCAGAGTCAGCTGACAAGAATAAGGTGGCAAAAAGATTGGCCACAAGCCTTATTAGGTAATTTCTGCTCCCAACTTCTTACTCATACCTGGCACACAGAGGCAACGGAACAGGTAAATGTTTGCCATTAAGGAGGTTCTGAACTAACCACAGACTTTCAGCACTTAAGACATTCATGCTTTAAAAACTGGCTTATGAATCTATTTTTTATTAAACAACATACTCCTTCCCCAGCTTGTAGCAGGTGAGGTGTTTAGAAGCAAATATTCAGAACAAATCCTGTCATAACTATGGCCTGTCATTCCCAAATCCAGTCTTGCTCCTGGAAATGTGGCTGTTTTCAATATAAGGGTGGGTTAACATGTAGAAATGAGGTTCTGACCACTCTGGCAGTCAGGATGTCTCAATACGTATGGAATATTTATCAAGTTAATTGAATTTATAATACTTTAAATATAGGCTTTGCTTGTCATACTCAGCATCTTACAGGACTGAGCCTTTGTATTGCCAGTTTTCTTGAGGTAGAGATTATATCTTTGGTGGGTTTTTTAAAGTACTACTTGTGTAGCCCTACATACATGTGTTTTATACATAGATATGCTGAACAATAGCACGGAAATGTTGCCAGACACTGCAGGGTTTGTTACTGGTCTTGTAAAACCGGTGTTTCCCTCAAGTGTTCATCAGCTGCTGTCAGGGGGATTATATGAGAATCCCAGATCTATATGAGAGTCTCCGATTTCATTTCATTTTAAAATAGGTTTTTGATGTTTCAACTTGGAAAACATCAACCCTGCAGGTTATAAAAGGCAAATAAAGTGGACTCGGCATTTATTATTTATAAAATGTTTTGACTTCTGACCTCCTGGTGAGTCAGCAGAGGGTTGTTGGCTGAACAGAACCCGGGGGAGGTGCGCGAGGGAGCAGCTCCCTGAAACAGCACGAGCTGCTTAGAAAGGCCAGGAGTCCCCAGCCCCTTTATTTAAGGGCACTTGGCTGCAGATGTTGGCTTTCAGAAAAGTACAAATGTATTGTCTTTGAGCCCAATGCCTCGACGGGGCTGGGGATCCTCTGTGCTCAGGGGGAGTGACTGGCATGGGGGCCACGGGGAGGTGACTCCCAGGAGCTGTGGGGCACAGCCAGGTCCCAGGCAGGTCACCTGCAGCAGGTGGCACAGGAACACATTCAGGTGGGTTTGGGATGTCTCCAGAGAGGGAGACTCCCTGGACAGATGTTCTACCCTCCATGGAAAGAAGTTCTGCCTCGTGCTGAGGTGGAACTTGTGTTTTAGTTTATGGCCATTGCTCCTCGTCCTGTTACTGCACAAAGGAAAAGAGCTTTTCAGAGGTGCCCAGCAACAGGACGAGGAGCAGTGGCCATAAACTCAAAACACGTCCTCAACATGAGGAAGAACTGTTCAGGAGAGCCCTGAACAGCTGCCCAGGGAGGGTGCAGAGTCTCCCTCCTGGAGACATCCCAACCCCAGCTGGTTCCTGTGCCACCTGCTCCAGGTGACCCTGCCTTGGCAGGGGGGTCAGACTGGGTGACGCCCCCAGAGGTCCCTTCCGACCCCCCCAAAAATCCCGGGATTCTGTGATTCCGACCTGTCACCTGTTGCGGCCGCGGGGCCGCGCGGGCGGCGTGCGCGCTCCCGCGGGCGGCGCGTGCGCGAGCCGGCGGCGCCGGGCAGCGCGGAGAGGCCTCTTCCTCCTCCTCCTTCTCTCCCTCCTCCTCCTCCTCCTCCTCCTCCTCCTCACCCCCCGTTCCCGGGAGCGCGCCCCGGGCGCGTGCTGGCGGCGGCGGGGGCGCGCGCGGGCTCGGCGGGGGCGCCGCGCGGGGATTGTTCGCGCCGCCGCTCGGGGAAGCGGAACGCGGGGAGCGCTCCCCGCCGCGCCCCCGCTGCCTCCTCCTCACCCACCTCCTCCTCCTCGTCCGCCGCCCCCCGCCCCGCCGCCCCCGTGTCCGCGCCGGGCGCCCACCCCGCCGCCAATATTCCCGAGATCAAGCGCTACGCGGCGGCGGCGGGGCCGGCGGCGGGGCCCGGGGCGGGCGGCGGGGCCGGCGGCGAGAGCAGCGAGGCCGCCGCCACCGCCGCCATGGAGGCGCTGGGACCCGGTGAGAGCCGCGGGGGGGGCGCGGGGCCGCGGCCTGCCGGGCCGTGGCAGCGGGGGAAGGGAGGGAGAGAGGCCGCGGGCCCGCCGGGGCTCCCCGGTGACACCGGGCCCCGCTCGCAGCCGCCGCCGCGGAGGAGCCGCGGCGGGTCCGAAACTTTGCGCGGGGGGTTCGCGGTGCCCTCGCGGCCCCGGGGCTGCCGGGGGGACTCGGTTCGTCCTCGGCGGGGTGAGCGGGACAGCGAGGGGACGGGGACAGGCGGGGCTGTCACAGCGGTGCGAGCCCCGCAACCTGTGTGATGATAACTTTTACATTTGACATTGAGCCCTTGCTGAGAGTTTAAGGCGATGCTGTCTGAAAATAGGGTTGTTTATTTCTTTAAAAAACTTGGTGGGTTTTTGCATGTGGCATTTTCCTGCTCGTGCCTTATTCCAAGATTATTCTTCCATCAAATGCCTGCAGGATGTATTTCTTTCCCTCAGTGGCCTGCACACCTGACCCATCGAGTTCCCATTCAAACGATTGGTATAATCGAAGTGGTGTTAATTTTGGTGTGATAGGAAATGGTTTTTGACACAGAGGTGCAATTCCAGAAGAATCCAGAGTTTGAGGTAGCGAGGGCTGACTCAGAGCCTGCTGTATGTGTGTGATGTATCGTGGCCTCCCTGACTTACAGCTGGAGAAGCAGATCCTCTTTCAGTTTTGAAAACTGCTTCCTGTCTGAAGCAACTCGGTTGAGGTGCTTAGAATGTAATTGTCATGGGGTAGAAGAAACTGAAATACAGCAGCATATGCAACCCTAGTCAGGCTGATCAGGTAAAAATCCTGTGACGCCAGGGCAGCCTGGCTTCAAACGGGAGAACAGTTTTTAGCTGCTTCTCTGGAATCCTTTGGGAAATAACTTTAGGAAGGAGGAGAAGTAAGATTTATCTCCTTTGGTCAGAACCGAGGGCAGCGCTGCTGTGCCTGTTTGCAGAACTTGTCAATGCTGAGGGAGGAAAATAGGTAAATATAGTTGTCATTTAATCTCTCGCAGGAGGTCAGTGCCTGCACTTCCTTCAGACTAATTAGCATGGGATTAATGGATCATCTCTCGTATCCAAATAAGCACAGCAAACTTTGATTGCCCTCGATGATTCACACTTGTCAAGACAGCTGTAGTTTTTTTAAGCACCAGCTGTACCCCACAACTGGTGTGACTGTGGTGCTGTGAGCTGCTCCGGGACGGAGGGTGCAGAGCCCGGAATGTGTCCTGAGGGGTGTCTGTGCCCCTGACAGCCCCTGCCACTGTGGCTTTGGGGAGCTGACATGGCAGTGGGCTCCAGCTGCTTACATGCTCCGTGTTCCTTCTGCTTAAAAACATTCCAGGGCTGGTGTCCTCAGATTGATACTTTTTTTTGGTAATGCAGTAACCAGTGGATGGCTTGTAAATCCGGTGTGGAATCTCCTTAAATTTGGTCCTGGGTTCAATTTATGGTTGTGTTGAAGTTTATCCAAGTAGGAGTTACCTACCTCTCTACCCTCCTGGTCTCACCTCTGAGCCTTTGACTTACATGGATGCTGTCAGGTCATGATACTACACATGCCCTAATTTTTATGATTGGTTTATTACTGAGTTCTTGTAATACTTTTCCCCCTCTCCTTTGCTACTCTACAACAGAGGGAAGACACTTTGATCACACTGAGCACTGGCAGATATAGCCAAACCCATGAAAATATACCAGTGCCATTTGCTTTATGTGCAGTGTCAACTGAGGCTGTGATCGATTTAAAAAAACAGTCAGTTTAATCTTGTTAACATGGTATCTCAGATCTTAACACTTTGAGGAAGGTAACTAAAGGTTTCCCTAGTGACCAGCTTGCGTATGAGTAACATTTCCAGGCCTCTAAGAATTTCCTCCGTAGAGCTGTTCCTGAAGCTCTTTTATCCAAATAAATTATCTCCACATCTTTGAGGAGTCCGTGCCTGTTTTCTCCCTTACTTCTCCCTTTCTTCTATTTAGAAGAAAGTGTAAACCTTTCCTCACTCCTGTGTTTGTGTTGGAATTTTAAATTGGATCATTAAGATCTGAAGTTTATAACAAAAACAATGAGAAAATGTGGCTTGTGTGGCTGTTGGTTTGGTTTACAAACGGAGGTAGGGATGTATTTATCTTTACATTACATGAAAATACATAATATCTGCATGGTGCATTCTGTCTTGGGACTCTGGTGAAGTTCATAACCACAGTCATGGATAAATGCCACTAAAATTTTAAGAATGAATTATGGTACCAGCCTGCACATGGTTTAGGGAACACGTTTTTTCCCAGGAAGTTCCGAGCAGCTGGAAGGCTGAGCCTCTTGGAACACCTCTGTTTGCAACCTCAGAAAGCTGCTGGAGATTTCTTGCAGTCAGAAAGTCACCCAAAGCCCTGAGAGGTGCACGGAGCGAGCCATCCCATCTCACATGTGTTTATTGACTTCCCAGGGCCCCCAGCCAGCCTCTTCCAGCCGCCCCGCCGCCCAGGCCTGGGCACTGTTGGGAAACCCATCCGCCTCCTGGCCAACCACTTCCAGGTGCAGATCCCCAAGATTGATGTTTATCACTATGATGTTGATATCAAACCAGAGAAACGCCCCCGAAGAGTCAACAGGTAGGAGTTGCTTAATAAAGATTTATTAGTTGACATTAGGAGTATGTTCCTGAACGTAAGGAAACTGTACATCCTTGGAATTCTCCATCTGCTAAAGGCCTGTTTCTTTCTCTTCTGTGGTCAGCTTTTTGGTGAACTGTACTGTTCTCCTTATTTTTATGAAGATGTGTTGCAATTGGCCTGTAATCTGGAAGGCTTTGGGAAATGTACTGTGTTGAACTCAAGCTGGTTTTATTTTACAGTCTACAAGCGAATGTCCCTGATAATTGTTCCACAGTCTGTTACTCAAACCTGTGTAGCAGCTGTGGGGAGGGAATTCAGCTTGTAGGTTTTGGAGTCCACACATGGATGCTTTGTTGGTGGAACCAATCCATGGAGCACTCCCACCCACCCCGAGGCAGGTGCTTGGTTCTGCTCCTGTGTGTGAACAGCTCTCCAGATTCCTCTGCCTGTTTCAGCTGTAGCTCTGCTGACAATACAGATACCTGTGCAGTGTGTGACACTTGGGTGTCTCAACCTGGGGGTGACATTTAGAGCCCTGGTGTGACCTGGGGGTGCTCTAGTGCATTGTTCTTTATCAGACCGTTAAGACAATGTGAAAAAGGAATTTTAAACTGTGTAAGGCCGTGGCTGAATTTTCTGTTCCTCACCCGAACTGGATGAATCCCTTGGCAGGGAGGTGGTGGACACGATGGTGAGGCACTTCAAGATGCAGATCTTTGGGGATCGGCAGCCTGGCTACGATGGGAAGCGGAACATGTACACGGCACACCCGTTACCCATTGGCAGGGACAGGGTAAGTGTTGCTCTGAGTTTCTGTGGGAAAACTGTTACAGTGTCATTTGGAAAGTGTTCTTTTACTGACATAAACCCAAACCACACCTATTGGTGTAGCCTTGGAAATGACAGGCAGGGCCACTCAGGATCTTTAGGAATTTACTGGTCTTTTACAGATATTTGTCTTCCTCAGGTTTCTAATTCCCAGATCTTTAGCTGGAGAATGTCAGTGAGTGAGAACTAATGTTCTGCTCTTTCAGCTACAAGTATATTATACTTTTTTCACCCTAATGGAAACTTCCCTTTTCCCTGTTCTAACCCTTGCTCTGTTGCTGACTGATAAAGTCCTTGTAGATGACAATGACTCTGGTTGGGTTTGGCTGTGCTGAGGAGATGCATCCTCCTGTTCCATGGGAACAACCAGATCAGCTGCTCCAGCCCTGTGTGTTCTGGGCTGTGCTCACCAGCACCCCCCAAAACTTCACCCTATCTACTCTTCCCCCCCGGAATCTGGTTATTGCTGTGCCAAGGAGAGTGCCCAGGATGAATTCACAGTTACCCTCTAGGCTGAGGGGTTGTGAGAATCATCCCAAGGGCTGTGCCAGAACTCTGAGATTTGTGCTTCCCAGTGAATCTCCTTTTTGACCGAAAGGTTTTCTTGCCTTCCCATTTGGTTCACAAAACATCTTGCTATTAACTGGCTGACTTAAAGAAATGACTCACTGTTCTCCAGAGCTTTGATGTCACCATACTAATTACTGCTTAAAATTTACATTTAAAGATGCCCCACTGCAGTTTCTCAGATGAATAAATGATAAACTTTCAAAGTCCCGAGGAAACCAATTGTCATATTTTAAGGTCATTACACAAACTAATCATCAAAAATAGAGATCCAAAGGACAGCTAGGAGAAAACCATACCATTGCTGAGTGCTGTGTCTGTCTGCAGTCCATTACCAAAGCCTGTGCTTGATTCTGTTGTGCCCATGGCAGGTGGATATGGAGGTGACACTTCCAGGAGAAGGGAAGGACCAGACATTTAAGGTTTCCATTCAGTGGGTGTCAGTCGTCAGCCTTCAGATGCTGCTGGAAGCTCTGGCAGGGCACCTGAATGAAGTTCCTGAAGACTCTGTTCAGGCACTGGATGTAATCACACGGCACCTTCCCTCCATGAGGTGGGTACCTGTGGGGCCTTCCTGACTGGATTCATCCTCTGTCCATCCTAACATTTGTGTTAGTTATTCCTTGCTGCTGCTCTGCTGCCATCACACTTCCCTGTGGCAGAAGAGATGAGGATGCAGCTGTGTAATTCAATGCCTGCCTTGCAAATTTGCACTAGAATGGGGAAATGTGATCTGAACTCAGGCCTTGTGCCTGCTGGTCATGTTTCTAACAGGAATTTGCTGTAGCCTTTCCAGCTGCACTGTCGGAAAAGGCTTTGTAGTCTTGCCATAAGTGAGCTCTGACTGTTCTAACGCGCTGTAGAAATGTGTGTCAAACGCTACAGGTGTCAGTGTAAAAAAAGTGTATCAGAAAGAAATTATCTAAGTGTTAATTTTCTTTTTTTCTCCAGGTACACCCCTGTGGGTCGCTCCTTCTTCTCCCCCCCCGAAGGTTATTACCACCCCCTGGGAGGGGGCAGGGAGGTCTGGTTTGGTTTCCACCAGTCGGTCCGTCCTGCCATGTGGAACATGATGCTCAACATCGACGGTGTGTAGGAGATTCTGTCTCACCCACACAACAGGGTTCTTTCTGCTTCTCCGTTAATTGTCCTCTCTTTTTCTCTTAGTGTCAGCGACTGCTTTCTATCGTGCCCAGCCTATCATTGAGTTCATGTGCGAGGTCTTGGACATCCAGAACATCAGTGAACAAAGCAAACCCCTGACAGACTCCCAGCGTGTCAAGTTTACCAAAGAAATCAGAGGTAAGGCTTATCCTAAAGGTGCTGCAACAAAATTACTGAAACCTGCTCGTTATGTTGTAATGAAAATCTGCGAGGCACTTGGGAAGCTGGGCTGTTCTTTGTGCCTTCATCCTCCTCCAAGTTGGTTCCTGTGCCTGAATTTATTTTCTGTTGGCTTTTCAGGTCTAAAAGTAGAGGTTACCCACTGTGGCCAGATGAAGAGAAAATACCGAGTTTGCAACGTTACCCGGCGACCAGCCAGTCACCAGACGTATGTGTCAACCAATTCCTGGCAATTTTTAAAATCTTGAACCTATTAAATATGTTTGGTATATTGTTTATGCAGGAATAAACATGATTCTATGATGAAGCAGCCGTGTGGCTTTACAGGAATGTTTAGTCTTAGTGGAGTACAGGAATATTGTGGGGTTTGACCACTGCTTTATTTCCTTCAACCCAAGGAAAATTGAGCTGTATCCTGGCTTTTGAATGGAGTTATCAAAGGTTCTAATTTTTAAAACAGCTAAAATATGAGAAATTCAGTACATAGTCTATAAAATCTTTTCATGAAGAAGAGATCCAGTAGCTAAGGAAAATAAAGGTTTGCAACATTCCTTGTCTGGAATAGGTTTTCCGTACCATTTTTTCCTTTAAAAAATTCTTGCAAAGTCTAACCAGAACAAATGTCCTTTCTAGGTTCCCTCTGCAGCTGGAGAACGGGCAGGCCATGGAGTGCACAGTAGCTCAGTATTTTAAGCAGAAGTACAGTCTGCAGCTGAAATACCCCCACCTGCCCTGTCTCCAAGTGGGACAGGAACAGAAACACACGTACCTGCCGCTGGAGGTGAGGGTCTGACTCTGGTACTGTGGTGTATCCTCTGTTAAACGTGGTGTCACAGCACCTCTGGCTCTCCCCTGCAGGTGTGTAACATCGTGGCTGGGCAGAGGTGCATCAAGAAGCTCACGGACAATCAGACCTCGACCATGATAAAAGCAACCGCGCGGTCGGCGCCGGACCGGCAGGAGGAGATCAGCAGGCTGGTGAGTGCTCTTCCAGCTGCACAGTCCATGTTTGTCACTTCTCATGGCTCTTCCAGAGCACTGGAGCAGGTGATGATGAGCACAGTGACCAAGAGAGAAGTTAAAAAAATCTGTCTCGTTTAAAACAAATCCTTTTAAAGAGAAAGCAAAGAGGGCAGAGTCACCTGAAGCTTTAATGTAGTGACATCAAGACCTCTCCTGTCCCCAGGTGAAGAGTAACAGTATGGTTGGTGGGCCTGATCCGTACCTGAAGGAGTTTGGAATCGTTGTCCATAACGAAATGACGGAGCTGACAGGCAGAGTTCTGCCAGCCCCAATGCTGCAGTATGGAGGCAGGGTGAGTCTCCATGTCTTGTCCTGAGGTTACTGGCATTCATGAGGTGTTTGATGTATCTTCTCATGAAATTTCCTCTGTGTGAGCACTGTTGGGCTACAGTCAAAACAGAGCAGCACTTTATTTTTAATTTGCCTTTGGTTTTTACCTAGAACAAGACCGTGGCCACACCAAACCAAGGCGTATGGGACATGAGAGGGAAACAGTTCTATGCTGGCATTGAGATTAAAGTTTGGGCTGTTGCCTGTTTTGCTCCTCAAAAACAGTGCAGGGAAGACTTGCTAAAGTAAGTATTTTTCTATTCATTCAGGATTCTATTTCAAGGTTTATTTTTCTCATGTTTCTGAATTTCTGATTTTAATGCATCTAATAGTAAAAACAACATACACCACAGTTTTTCTCCTGTCCTTCAAATTACTCTAGAGAATCCTAAAGACAGAGGTTGTGTGAACCACTGACTGGCAAAAATTGTGGTTGCAATATTGCTCAGATAAGTTTGGTGGATGAATAAAAATCTACCAGAGCATCAGTACTAGTTTGGAAATCTGCCTCAGGGTGTTCAGCTGAAATGTCTGTTTGTTTCTGTAAGACTTGTAAAATTACAGAAGCTGATGAACTTCCTCAGAGAGGATTAGAGCCGTATTAGTGAGTTCCTGATGGGGATAGAATTTCTAAAAAATAATTACTGTACTGCTGTGAAATAGCAGGAGCAGCTTAGACCTGGTTGATCAAACTGATGCCAAAGTGACCCGTGGTGGAAAGGCCAGGACAAATCCATTTCTATTTCAGGAGTTTCACAGACCAGCTGCGCAAGATCTCCAAGGACGCCGGGATGCCCATCCAGGGCCAGCCCTGCTTCTGCAAGTACGCCCAGGGTGCAGACAGTGTGGAGCCCATGTTCAAACACCTGAAGCTGACTTACGTTGGCCTGCAGCTCATCGTGGTGATTCTGCCCGGGAAGACGCCCGTGTACGGTACGGGGAAGGGGCTGTAGAGTGATAATGGGTTGTACTGCAAGTGGGTGGCAGGAAGGAGGAAATGTGTTCCCTTTAAAAGAGTGTTTTGGAGCTGGTTTATCTGATTGGAGAACTTGTGTGTTACCAAAGAGCAAACTGAACCTTTCTCAGTGAAGTTTCAAGGGTCCGAATTACAGTAACATTTCAAAAAAATAAAATAAGAGCAAGCAGATGAAGCTCCTGCCTCTTGGCATAATTGGAACCACTGACTTCTTTTTCTGTCACAGCTGAAGTCAAGCGGGTTGGAGACACTCTTCTAGGCATGGCCACACAGTGTGTTCAGGTAAAGAATGTGGTCAAAACCTCACCACAAACACTGTCCAACCTGTGTCTGAAGATCAACGCGAAGCTCGGAGGGATCAACAATGTGCTGGTACCTCATCAAAGGTGAGATGCAATTAAAAGCTCTGCTTGATGTCTGGATTGTCAAACAAAACGGTGTCCTTTTGTTGTGTTTGCTGAAATGATACCTTCCAAAACAAAGCATGCTTTAGAAATGCCCACAGTCTGGAGTGGACAGAGGAGGATGCATCTCCATCCACCGTCTGCCCAGTCAGCCCTGTGCCAAGGGGAGTCAGAGCCATCCAGCAATGCATGGGAAAACAAGCTCACCAAGGCTTTTTCCCATGTCTTTTTCCTGCCCTTGAGTTCACTGTCTACCTTTTCTCTTGTCACCTCCTAAATCATCCTGTGTTTTCTTTCAAATTGAAAGAGAAGGAATGGAGAGGAGTGACTTGTGATCAGTGCTTGTAACTTGGTCTGCCTTTGATCCTGTCCTTTTCATTTTGTGTTCTCTCTCGACTGTAAGAGCTTGAGGCAGAAATCATTGTCCTTAAAGACTCTCTTTTTGATTCTGTTCACTGGTTTGGATGGTTTGGACCTTCCTTGGCTGTAATTTTTTTTTGTTTCTTGCCCTCCTTTTTCTTATTTATTATTATTAATTTTTAAGGGGACTGTGGAGACAGGTTCAGAGAGTTGGGGCTGTTCAGCCCAGAGAAGAGAAGGTTGTGTGGAGACCTCACAACCCCTTCCAGTATCTGAAGGGGCAGGCAAGGAAACTGGAGAGGTATTCTTCATCAGGAACTAGAGTGCTAGGACAAGGGGGAATGAGTTCAAACTGAAAGAGGAGAAATTTAGATTAGGTATATAGGAGAAATTCTTCCCTGTGAGGGTGGGGAGGCCCTGGCACAGGTTGCCCAGAGAAGCTGTGACTGCCCCATCCCTGGAAGTGTCCAAGGCCAGGTTGGATGGGGCTCTGAGCAACCTGGGCTAGTGGAAGGTGTCCCTGCCCATGGCAGGGGGTGGAATGGGACGATGTTTAAGGTCCCTTCCAACCCAAACCATTCTGGGATTCCATGACTCTAACTAATAAACCCTAACCTTACCCACCAGGCCCTCGGTGTTCCAGCAGCCAGTGATCTTCCTGGGAGCAGACGTGACGCACCCCCCGGCCGGGGACGGGAAGAAGCCGTCGATCGCGGCCGTGGTGGGCAGCATGGACGGGCACCCCAGCCGGTACTGCGCCACCGTGCGCGTGCAGACCTCGCGCCAGGAGACCTCCCAGGAGCTGCTCTACAGCCAGGAGGTCATCCAGGACCTCACCAACATGGTGCGGGAGCTGCTGATCCAGTTCTACAAATCCACTCGTTTCAAGCCCACAAGGATCATTTACTACAGAGGGGGAGTGTCGGAAGGACAGATGAAACAGGTATTGTCTGATTGCTTCTTCTTGCTCGTGAAAAGGGATTTGCCCTTGATTATATGTTTATGTGGATGACAAGAGATTGGCCCTCAGAAAAATATATATATATGTTGGAAAATTATTATTGAAGATAATTATTGGAAAAATTATCGTTGAGTTTTCCTGGGTAAGCACAATGTGCAGTTTTCCTGTCTGATCATGTTTCTTGCGACGTGGCATTTGTACACAGGAAAAAAATAAAATAATATTATGTATACTCAGTTCATCATTTAACGTCTACACTTGCAGGTAGCTTGGCCAGAGCTGATCGCGATCCGGAAGGCCTGCATTAGTTTGGAGGAAGATTACAGACCAGGAATAACCTACATTGTCGTGCAGAAAAGGCATCACACCAGGCTCTTCTGTGCCGACAAAACTGAAAGGGCAAGTACTGACTCCATGAGGGGGAGGTGATGGCACAGGAAAGTGGGATTATTTCGTTCAGTGGGGTGGGATCTGTCCTGCCCACTAAAGCTGGGTGGTAACAGGCTTTCTCTACCAAAATAACCCGTTCCTCCCTTTTTTATTGCTCTACATCAGATGGAACAGCTTGTTCCCAGCCCCTTTTGGAATAGGTATGCTCTGTATCCCGATATTTGTGTACCTGGAGGTGTAGCCTGGGTTTTTATAGTCCAGGATTCCTGACCATGAACTGACCTGGCCGTTCCCTGTTCTGTCTCTGGGCACATCTAAGACGTGCCTGTGGCACAAATCCACAGGCCAGCTGAGGAACCTTCTGTAGGGCAGCTCTTGATCTCAGATTTGCTTAAAAACCCAGATCTCTGGGGTGTGAGGGCAAACAAGGGTATGAAATAAATTTATCTCAGAACCCTGCGTTTTCAGATCCTGAATTACTCGTGCCAGCTCTAATGGTGCTGGCAAGGATTTTGTTTTCCTCTCATGACACACCAGCTGGATTTGGTGAAGTTTCTAAAAATGAACTTGCAGAGAACATTTTCATTCCTCCTATGTAAACAGCCTTAATATTTTTCCACCTTTTTGAGCAGTAAATTCTCCAGCAGCTTTCAGTAGAACCTACCTTAGGAGGTAGCTTTGGGTCACTTCCAAAAAACGCATGGGCTAATAATAAACTTTCCTCACTAGGTGGGTAAGAGCGGCAACGTACCAGCAGGCACTACTGTGGACAGCACCATCACACATCCTTCTGAATTTGACTTTTACCTCTGTAGCCATGCAGGAATTCAGGTAATGTCAGCTCTGCCGTGCTCAGGCTGTGGGACTAAATCCTCGTAGTTGTTCCCATGAGGAATGTCACTTCTGTTGGTAGCTTGGCAGACTCAGAGTGCAGCAGTACCCGCTTGGCACTGACTCCTCGGTGCCGGCTGGAAGGTGCAGCCCACAGGTACCACCTCTGCTGCTGCTCGTGCTGTGCAGCTGAGTGCTCACCTGTTCTCCACAGGGAACCAGCCGGCCCTCCCACTACCAGGTGCTGTGGGATGACAACTGTTTCACAGCGGATGAGCTGCAGCTCCTCACGTACCAGCTGTGCCACACCTACGTGCGCTGCACCCGCTCCGTGTCCATCCCCGCTCCCGCCTACTACGCCAGGCTGGTGGCATTCCGGGCCAGGTACCACCTCGTGGACAAGGATCATGACAGGTAAGGAATGGCCTCGTCATCCTGGCAGGCAGGCAGTGAAGCTGAGCTGTGCTGCTTGCCCCAGCTGATCACGGTGTGTGTCTGCTCGCAGCGCCGAGGGCAGCCACGTGTCGGGGCAGAGCAACGGCCGCGATCCGCAGGCGCTGGCCAAGGCCGTGCAGATCCACCACGACACCCAGCACACCATGTATTTCGCTTGAGAGCACCTGGGAGGATGAGGCAAGACAACAACCCACGCAGTCCCCAAGTGTTTGGAAGCCTCCCCCTCTCGCCAGGGCCGGGGGGGTTCGGACTGCCCACTACCAGCAGCTCCGGACAGTCGCACTGAATCTGTTCTTCACTGCAACGTCTGATGCACCAACACAATTGAGCCATTTGTTTCATTGTTTTCTGTACTAGAAATCCATAGACTTGTCTTTTCTGATGCATTGGACTGAATTTTTACCTCAAAGCGCAAAGGCCGATCATCCTGAAGTTTTTCAAGGACTTGGCACGAAAGGTTTCTATCGAATCTTTTGCTAGCTGTGGTTTTTAAGTTCTCCTCATCCCATGAGCTGACGGTGACTGCTGCCCTGTCTCCGTGCCCTGCTTCGTGAGTATGATGTGATGGCAAAATGTTTTATCCAGCTCGCTGTGATCCTTCTGTCGTGTGGGGCCATAGATTTTTTAATGGAGATTTTAGACTTCACTACTGTAAATGCCTTTTAACAAACATAACTTTCACAGGTATTGCAGTTTTTTGTCAGTTTTACTAATTATCTTTTTAATCTCTGCAGACTTGGGCTGCAAAGCAATTGCACTATACTGCGAGTTAATAGGTGGTTCTTGTTCTGTGAATGTGTAATATAACCAATAGTGATGCCTGTCAGTAGATTTTAATGATAATGGTTATAAATAATACTGCCATGGTATCGTAACAAGTACTGAACCATCATTTCCCCCCTCTAAAAATGATAAAACAAAAAAAAAAATTTAGCTTTTAGGTATTTTGCAAACTTTTACAAAAGTGCCCACTTTATGCTGCTGTGTGGTTTGATAAATCTAAGTGATTTTAAAACTTTTTTCTCATAGAAGGTTTAACTTTGGCAATAAATCTTTGTTTTTTAAGCCCCCCCAACAGTGTAATTTTCTAGCTGAGGATTGTGCATGAGTTTGACCAACATTCTCGTGTCGTTTTCTGAACACACAATTTGGCAGTTTCTGAAACTAATTAGAAAAGACGCATTTCCATGCTTTTTTTAAGAATTATTTTTAACTGTTTTATATTCACTGTTGGTGTCCTGTCTACAACATTTTTTATAAGCTTGGAAACTGGGTGTTCCATGTAGGAAAGGCCAATGTGTACAGTCGAAATGTATTGTGTGACAGGCAACCTGAGGACTTGTACCAGCATTTTGAACTGTTTTTTTCCTGGGAATTTGGGTTGCCCACACAACTGCATTCATAGCATGTTGAACCCATGTAAGTCTCAAATACTGATTCTATCCCAGCCTAGAAATTAGGGGTTTTAATCTGCTTGGCTTTTTTCAGCTGCAACCTGTAATCCAGACCAGGGGCCTGGTTTCCCTGGGTATTCCTGGAATCCATGAACATGGTAATTTAAGACTAGACTCCTCTTAGTGTAAACCTGAGTTAGTATTAGTGTAAACCCAACTTAGTGCAGATTAAAGCTTATTCCTAACCTGAGGAGGAGTTTGAGAAGCCCAAGGATTGCACTGTGGTCTCTGATACTCTTGCGGGGTTTGCTGCTAAGTTGTCTGCTGTCCCAAAGCTTAGGAACCAGCCCCCCCAAATTTCAGCAATAGGAAATGCTGTTTCCTTCAGTCTTTAAGCTTGTAAATAAATGAAAGTTTACATTTCTAAATGCTGTTGTTTTCAGTTGTACCAGAGTACACTGAACTTATTCAAGCAGTTTTGTAACCTCCTTGCCAGTAGTACGTCTCATAAATTAAGTTTAACCTCTTTTCATTTCTGTTGAAAATGGGACTGATGTGACCCCTGTCCCTGGCAGGGACAGGTTTAGACTGAAAAAAATCAGAAAGATTCATTTTAGTTATTTAATTTTTTTTTAAAGAATACCTCACTTGTGTAATAAAATCAGGACATGTGGGTGGGAGACTGACCGCTGCTTTTCTCAGTACTCATTCAGGGAGAAGACAAAAAAACCCCTTTTTAGAGTGAACTCTGACTGACCCAACACACACAGAGAACTTTGGCACCTTGAAAAGCACCTGAGCACCTGTTGGAGGTGGTAGGATCCAAGATCCCTGTTTTGAGCTTGTGCACTAGGAATGGAGCTGGTTTAATAAGGGTGCATAAAAAATGAGTTAATTTTATCACCAATTAGTTGTCCAGTGCCAAGCACTCCTGGTTGAGACTGAGGGAAGGGAGAGCCTCTCCTTGGTTTGCCTGTGACTGGATATTTGACCTCAGACCAGGTGGAGCCCTGGGCCAGCACCTGAGCAGGGCTGGTGTGAGCCCACCCCGGGCACAGGGCTGGAGTTTGAGGGCGAAAGCACTGAAGTTCAGGATCCAAGTCGCAGCAGTGCTGCCCTAGGCAGGTCTGAGCCCAAGTCTGGAGGACTTGAGGACCTGGGTGAGCCCCGTGGGCCTGAGTGACTCGTTCTGCATGTGTCAATCAATGGGAAGATGTGCATTCTGTAGCTGTAGTTTTAGGGTGTTTTGTTTTTTGGTTTTGTTTGGTTTTGGTTTTTGTTTTTTTTTTTTTTTTATAAATAAAGCCTGTTGGCCACTGTTTAGCTCTGTGGTGTGAAAGATTTTAAATGTAGCAAAGTTCAAAGAGTTGGGGGAGGGAGTGGTTGACATATTAAAAAAATATAAAAAAATATATATAAAAAAAGGGGGGGAGGGGGCAGAAATCCTGTTTTCCACCCAGTTCTGCTTGCTTTGTCCCTGCTGAGTTCTGAACGAGCTCTGGCAATCCCTGGCTAGCCCATCTCCACCTCTGTGAGCTACCCAGGGTGGTGCTGGAGCTGCATCCGAAGGGAGCAGAGGTGGATGGACGGGCAGGGGTGCCCCGTGCCCACCCTCAGCTCGGCCCTTCGGACGGGGGAGTGCCCTCGTTCAGAGCCAGCGTCCGACAGCCCCGACCCCGACCCCTTTGTGGATGTGCTGTAGGAGTTTTCTTGCTCAATAGCGAGGGAGTGACTCTGCTTTCATTTTCAGAAGGCAGGGCCAGAGGGCGTTGGATCCATCCCGATCCTGATCCACTGCAAGTTCCTTTCCCTTTGCACTGGAGGAAAGATCTTGCACTAAATATCACAGATTTTCTTAGACCTTGCTATTGACATTTTCATATTTCTATGTCTAGAGGCTGCAACTTCAATGTAAAATGTTTGCATTTGTTCAGTTTGACTTCTGATGTAATTTTTTGGTTTCTATATTGTTAGACTTGTAATGTTTCAAATGGTATTTTATTAACTTTGGACTGGATGTATGTCTCTAGCAATACGAGGTACTTTCTAAACTGTCCTGGGGGTCACAGCCCCATGCTGGTCGTGTACAATTGCAATGTATTTTTTTTTTTAGCCTGCAGGGATATTTTGTGTTCATGTGTCCAAAAATATTAATAATAATAAAAAAAAACCTTGGCATTCTTGTGCCAAATGTTCTGTTTTTCCTTGTTGCTGTCCAATAAATGCAATGTACAGAGTGAGCAACCCATACCGTTGCCTGTAAACAAATGTCTTAAATTATTTAACTTTTAATTAAAACTTGTACACAACGTGTCACCTGTGGAACTCATTGCCACAATATCTCTATTTCTGATGCGCTTGGAGTTGGAAAGTGACAGAAATATGGGTGACATCTCCCGGGATCCTAAAGGAGGGCACATCCCGGGGGTGTGGGACTGAGGTGGTTCAGCCTCAGGCAAACCTGAGGAGCTGGGAAGCCAAAGGTGACTTATCCGGGGGTCTTCCAAACATCATGCAAAGATCTCACGGATCAACCCCCAGGAACCTGGAGCTCCTTGCTGCCGTTCTGGGGGTGCAGCACGAGGTGGGAACACTTTGACAGTCTGAATCCCTGCGGCTTTTCCTCTTTCCCCTGGAACAGCCCAGCCAGGATCGCACCCCTGGGCTCCTTGGGCACAGCATGGGAATGACGCTCCTGGGGTTTGACTGTTACCAAAGCCACGGCACAGGGTGGAGGTTTGCGCTCGCTGGGGAGGCCGAGTCTGGTAAGTGTGGTGGGAAAGGGGATGGAAAAAAGGGATGGAAAAGGGATGCTCTGCCCTTGGACCAGGGCCACGGGGGATCCCTGCCCGGCGAGGCCCAGGGCACCTCAGGAGTGACCCAACAGCTGCCGAACAGATAAACTGCTTCCCAGCGCTCCCACTCGGCCCGGCCTGGCACAAAATGAGTCAAAAATAAAAACAAAAAAATTAAAAAAAAAAAAAAAAAAAAAAAAAAAAAAAAAAAAAAAAAAACCCCAAAAAAAAACA